TGTCAAGTGGACTCCATTGTCAACAAAAAAGCTTCAATCCATTAACATGTTCCCTCTTCTATTTATACAGATTAGGAGAAAGAATTTTCCTTATCTTCTATCATGCCCCCGCAAGATGGTGCTCCTGATAAGGATACTAACCTTGGATCGATGCAAAGAATGATTTACAAGCGAGAGACTTCGTGAGTAGGGCAAGAGCATATCGCTGCTATTATTGCGATTGCTATTGCTGTGAGAGCACAGGCGTTCTCTTCATTCTCCTTAAGTCCGCCCTTCGTTCTCCTTAAGTCCACCGATTGTCCACCGATTGTTGGCAGATCAGCGAAGGCTACCGCGGTGAGGAAGATGAGGATTGTCCGTGGAGCCTCTTAGGAATGTGACTGCAGCGGCGTTGGTCACTAGCCGAAGACAAGGGCGAAGCTTCGCTTTTCTTAGCAACGTTGGTCGCTGGCCAAAGGCAAAAGCGAAACTTCGCTTTTCTCACTGATCTGATACCATAATGGAAAGAATAGAAGATAAGAACAATTATTGAAGAAGCTTTATTGAGGAAGTGAAGAAGCTTTAACTTTATTGAAGAAATGAAAATGCTTCAATACATTAACATGTTATCTCTCATACAAATTAGGAGAAAGGATTTCCCTCAACAGAATAAATTGCTGTGAGGGCACAGGCGTTCCCTTCTTGCCCCTTAAATCCGCCTTTCATTCTCCTTAAGTCTACCGACTGTTGGCAGATCAGCGAAGGCTACCGCGGTGAGGAAGATGAGGATTGGCCGTGGAGCCTCTTAGAAATGTGGCTGCAATGGCATTGGTTGCTGGCCGAAGACAAGGGCGAAGCTTCACTTTTCTCAACGACGTTGGTCGTTGGCCAAAGGCAAGAGCGAAACTTTGCTTTTCTCATTGCTCTGATACCATGATGGAAAGAATAAAAGATAAGAACAATTACTGAAGAAGCTTTATTGAAGAAGTGAAGAAGCTTTATTTAAGAAATGAAAAATGCTTCAACACATTAACATGTTCCCTCTTCTATTTATACAGATTAGGAGAAATGATTTCCCTCAATAGAATAGAGAGATTTCCTCATATAGTTGGGGAAATCTTATCTTATTCGTTGTAATCATCCATGCGTACGAGCACCGGTGCGTATGCATAGTTGCCGTCTCATCGACTTCCGGTGGCCGCAGTAGTAGTACGTGCTGCTGAGCACATTCTTTTAGTTCATGCAGATCGTATATGTACTAAATTAAACCGCCAACCCCATGGCAGCCAAGGGGTGTTGCTGCCGTCTTGGGTAAGGCCAACCTCTGCCGTCAATCCTTCAAGTCCTGTTCTCGACGCTTCTATTCTCTATACCATAGAGGGCCGATGCAGATCTGTCGTCCTCTATGTCATGCCTTCGTTGCTTCATTTTGTTGAAGAGTGCCCCAATTAGTAGACTGTCATATGCTGCTTGGTGACGGATCCCTACGGGTTCAAAGTTCAATAACCTTGATAGTCCCACCACACCAATCTCTCCCTGAGAAAGTCCTCCACAAAATCGAGATATATATTTGAGATCATAAATCTGGCCAAAGATGGTCCTCACCAAATCAGAGAAGTCATTCAATGTGTTGGGCAGTGGGGCTCGGGTGATCATCTTAATCACAAATGCCGTGTCGTAGAGTCCATGAAACGTAACATACTTGGAGCTGTAGGGTTGACAGAAGAGCTTCATGCATAACAGATATGTGCACCGCTGCGCGTCGATACCGTGTCATCGGTTTATAGGGCATCTATGACCCCGATAGGTGCGGGTGCTAGCGGTGGTTGAGATATCGGTCGTGGTTGCGATGACAAGATAGTCTGTTGACTTAGTTGGGACAAGAGCGGAGCAATTGCCTGCATTATGCTTGTGAGCGCCTACACTTGGTTCATGAGGTTCAATAATGCCTTTGCACGGACAACCAAGTGCCTCATATTCATCCTCGGAGGTGAGAGTTCTAAGTCATTGAATAGAGGCTAGTAATACCTTAGTGTCTGAGTGGAGGTGGTTGCATCCAGCTGAGGAAAGGAGGGTAGCTGCCCATTTGTGTAAAGGTGCTATAGATTGGGGGTAGAGTTTCTTCACTGGAGCACTCAATCTTTGCACTATTAAAGTAGCTTCCCATTTGTGTAAAGGGATCATGGGCGGATATTCCTACTATATTCAAGGTCCTCCTTCTAGTGCCAAATTATTAAGGATTCAAGGATTCAAGGATTTAAAGATATATGATCTCCCTAGGTAATACAATCTTTCATATATACAATTTTAAGTTTCTCGATTTTTGTGCATCAATCTTCGCACGACAATGAACACATCTTTTGAGAAATTAGGGATTTTGTTTTTAATATTTTTTCGCTGCGCATGTGATATCGCCCCTAGATTTTTCAACATATAGGCGGGCATTCCTACGATATTCAATGCCCTCCTTCTAGTGCCAAATTATTGAGGGGATGCATCATCGACAGTCGAGTCAGCCCAGCTTGGTCTTGTCCCAAAGGCGTAGAGACATCCGAGGAACCCTTGTGGCAGTCCTAGCGCGACTAAGGTGGTCTTCGCATAACCTTGACCTATCCAAGGTGATCTTGAGGTTAGGCCGAGGTGGGCTTTTTGGTGGGTTATTGCGCAAAGGTTAGCATCAGGAGGAATTTTCTGACCCGACTCCTCCAACGCATAAGTTAATTCCGAAAATTACATAGGGTGTGAGATGTTTTTGGAAAGAGGTCCGACTCCTGGGCCGACACCAGGGGTCGGCTTTTATACCTGACCAACTAAGGAGATCCTCCATAACAGCCCCAACGTCTCCCTTGTTTTGTCTGTAGGAGTGATATGTTCAACCGACCTCCTATGAACTATTGTCCATGGGGGCCGATAGAGAGATAAACAGGCCCGAACAACCTTCATGAATTGTTGGCCACTGAAGTCGATAGGGCCAGTCCAAATGACCTCTCGTGGATTATTATGCATAGAAATTGACAAACCATAACCACCCACCACGTTATTTCCTAGTGGGTGATTCTACTTTTTTCTTCAATGTTAGCGCTTTTAGAATGATTAGTTGGTGGATGGTGATTGGTTACCAAAATATTTTCTATCAAAGTTTATTAACTTAGAGGATGAGAATGCTCATGAATTTCATCTTAATTATTGCATT